CTCATTTCTCTGCTATGATATTTGATAAAAAATGGTAATTGTTTTTTCAAGGACAGGTTTATGTCTGAATGTGGTGTTGACTTTGAGAATGATGGAATTGACAACTTATATTCATTTTCTTTCCCAATATTAAATTAGAACTAATTAGCATGTATTCCAAGAAGAAGGTCATGTAGGAATGTTACACTGTCTTATCTCAGGGGGACCAGGGCCCCGTTCCTCAAAGCGATCTTAGCGCTAAAGTGATCGTAAGTCCCATACTTCAACATAGGGTTACGATCATTGTAGCGCTAAGATCGCTTTGAGGAACGGGGCCCAGGTGGTCCAGGCATCTAACATGATGCAATTCACTTTGCAGAGTTGTGTCCCTTTTTCATGCCAGGATCAGCTGATCAGGAGTTCAAATCTCAAATTTGTCCTTATCATGATCCTTGGTTTGTTCAAGGCAGCATTACACCAAACTCACTCATAAATTACCACACTTGTAGAAGTCGGTTCCTAGGATACATAATATTAATAAAGCAAACAAAACTTACCATATCCAATAGAAATCTCTGCATAAGGCCAAGTCAATTGTACGATTCCGACTATATCATGAGCATGTGTTTATGAATCACTATCAAAAAGTGATGTTACCAGGTGTTCGTGAAAAGGTGAGCGTATCCTGCACCCATCACAAACACATGCAAAGACAAGTCAATTGTTAACTTGAAAAAAAAACACCAACATATGGTAGAAGTCAAAATAGGGAATTGCTTTGGAAACCATTTTTGTCACTGATGCGCCAAATTTGGACATGTCCACATGTCTACCATTGGGCATCCAGACATCCAGATGGTTGGGGCTTACTGTGATATTAAGGGGAGAAATCATTGTAGTATCTTAATATAGGTCTCTTGTGGTAGGTAATTTGAGAAATCTTCAGGTGGTATCTTAATACAGAACTTGATACAGATCACTAAAGATTTGTTTTCGAAAAATGTAATGAAGGGAGGTCAAGGTGGTTAGTAAGAGGAATATGGTTCCTTTCTGTTTAATCAATGCATGTGTTTGACCAAGAATAGTATGCTAGTTCCTAACAGGCACCTTTGCTCTTTTCCCAGCTGCTTGAATGTTTTATTCTTATGTTATTTACAATGTTTATGATTCTTCCTTTATAAAGAAAAATAATTTATTTCAAAAATTCCTATGTGATATTTTTTTCTCTAGCCATGACGACCTTTTCCATCTTTTGTCATTATAAGTCAAAGAAAAAATTGAAGTTGCAATGTATTTCACAAAACCGGTTTCAGAATAAATCTATTTCAAAAAGAAATGACAACCAAACTGGAGCAGGCAGCCTCACTGTTGTCAGACAATGGTGCTGGGAAGAAGCAGTAATGACAAACTGTGAGGATCACGTCGGAATCCTGTTCCAAAGCTTTCTCCAGGACATTTAAGAGTGAAAACCTAACAGAGGAAAATAGGAAAATGAGGAAAAAATACAAAAATATGTCAGAATAAGTGACGCCATTTTCAAAACATTGCTGATTAGATGGTGTTTCTATTGGAAACATGTGGCGCTGCTTAATTGTCTGAGAAATAAAAGTGGTCCAAATTCAGCATTAAATAAAAAAAAGTATTCACTTTGGTGATATGTGAAATTTTAAATTAGATACAAAAAGAACTAATATTTCTGGTTATTATTTGTAGAAAGATGGCAGAAATTTCTGCCATGAGATGCTGAAGTGAAATATATAAGTGACAAACCCTTTCCATATTCATAAGAAATCTCTGCCAAAAGTAGAGTTGATTGTACAACACAAGTCAATAAGTCATCAAGAAGCAATAAGCAGCAACCCTGTTGAAATAGACGATTCAAATTATGAAATTAACGACTGTCTGATTGAAATAGACACACATGGCCTGGCCCTCATTTCAAGAATTAGGATGTTTTTGATAGCAGTTTGTAGTCTTCCCATTTGTTGATGGTGGTCCAGCAGTTCTTATCTCGTGGCTATTTAGCCTCATTACAAACACAGTGGTTAATCACCACTATGGCTCTGGAAGCAATCAGAGACCCTCCAAATGAGCCAGATCCTTCTGTTTAAATCAATCACATGTCTTAAAATCTGTTCCAGATCATCTCGATTGGTTGTATGTTTTTTCTGGAATTATGTCTGTTTTTCTAACCTAAAAGCTGAGGGTCAAGTTTTCTACACTAACCCACCCCCACTGGTGAAAAAATATTTTGACCAAATTTTGTTATGTGTATTTGTAAACAAGCTTTTAGTATTACATAATGAACCTTGACAGGTTAGATAAACAGATATATATATCTGTCATTTGATATTTGACAAAACATTTAAGCCTTTAATAGTTCACATCTTGTATTGTATGAAGTAATTATCACTAGAATGTGTTCTAGAGGTTGTAGGTAGATATCAATGATTTAGTTTATCAAGATCTCTTCTTTTTCTTTACCATTAAAACCTATTGTGTCATATCTACCCGGTACCTATTGTGTCATTATAAAAGTTTGAAACTCTGAAGAAACCATTAAACCCTCGTGCAAGTTCTGCGTTTTAAAATGTATCTCCAAATGTTTCTAAAAGGACAAGACAAAATTATATTTTCTGTTCAGAATATACTGCACATACAAGTTCACTAAACCTTGTCTATGAATAAGACTAAAAATCTGGGTAGTAAAAATAAAAGTTAAACAGCTAATCACATGCATGGACAAAGGACTCTCTTTATGAATTACCCCTTCATGTCAAGCAATGTACATGTAATCAAGATTATGGCATCTTTATTTCTCAATTACACAGGAGGATGTACATTTTATTATACCCCCGACCTATAGTTATACCAAGGTTCCGTTCGTCAATCTGTCTGTCTATCCGTCAGTCCATCCGTCCATCCAAAAACTTTGTCCGCGCGATTTCTCTTAAACTATTCAGTGGATTCATCTCAAACTTAGTACATATAATGGATATGGAGGGGTGCAGTCAAATGAAATTTTTTTTTTTTATTAATTTTCCATTTTTTTATGAATTTATCAAACCCTAACCCTATCCATTATTTAATTTGAAACTACTGACACACTAGGCGGGTCGGGGGTATTAATGAGCCCAGCTCACTTTTGCCCTTGTTCAAATTGAGGGTCTTGAAGGTGAACAAGTCACATTTCATTCTCATCTCACCTATGAAGGGAATGCACATTGCAAACTTTTATATCTGTTGGCACGGTAAAATGATGTGAGGCAGAGTGTTTGAAGATTGGGATGAAAAAATAATATATTCTGGCCTAATTTATTAAGTATATTACAGTAAGCAACTTTTATAACAAACACGCTTATAATGAACTGACAGATATAATTAACTTATTTTTTTTGTCCCAACCATTTGCTGTGTATATATATTCTTATAATGAACTACGGTTATAATGATTTAAAATTAGTGATCCCTTTGAGTTTGTTATAACCATAGTTTACTGTAATGAACAAAATTTCTACAAATGTTGTCAAACTTAATCATGTGCAAAACTGTCAGTTCGTTGTTACTCCTCTGCACATCAATTTATCATGTGACTTTAACCTCCTGTGGGGTGGGTGGGTGGGTAACCTAGTGGTTAAAGCGTTCGCTCGTCACGCTGAAGACCAGGGTTCGATTCCCAACATGGGTACAAAGTGTGAAGCCCATTTCTGGTGTCCCCCGCCGTGATACTGCTGGAATATTGCTAAAAGCGGCTAAAACCATACACACTCACTCACTTAACCTCCTGTACTGTCATTTTCAACACAGGTGTTGGTACACATGAATATTTTAATCCTATAGTAAAGAACAACAATTCTAACTCCAACAAAGGTTCCAAGGAACAAGGGTCAGAACAACAAGAGCCATAAAACTAGTCCACAGATAGCACTTAATGACACCTATTCCATCTGCATGCAAATACCAGACTATTCCATCTCCCAAGGCATACCAGCCTTCCAACTGGCTAATCCCCATGGGCAAATCCGACAGAGAAACTCTATTCCCAACATTTCAAATTTTAATGACTGGGTAGTTCTTTTATGCTGTTATTAAACTCAGCAAGTTCATCTCTCCAACTTGCAATAGCCTGCGCTACATCCATCAATACCGAATCAGGTTACAAGTTACTTGTTTGAGTCCCGTCACGGAGGTATTTGCTGTAGTGCTGTATTGACTTTTGTACCTACAGATGTAGGAAGGAGTTCGACAGCTATGACATTACTTATTAAAAAGAACCTCTCCAGTCTTCATGTTACATGGCTACTTCAAGTAAAGTTACTTTAGTTTCCAGATAAGGGAAACTCTATTTTTCTCAGGTAGTTGTCAAGTCTGACGTTAATATCTTGATTTGTAACAGTGGCTAGGAAAGATTTTGTCTGTTACTACAATACGTATTCCAGGAAAACTTTATGAATGTAAATTGTTATATCATTTCACTTCTTTTGATCAAATGTTGAATTTACATACAAGATAATTTTTTGCATCAGTAAATATTTTTATAGTTTATTGATATGTTTAATGTGCAGTGATGCCTTGACAATACTACATAATTTACATAGTGAAATGTTTGCTAACAAACAAAAAGTAAAATCCTAATTTGCATTTTGAAACATAATAGACACATGCTTTTGGTTATTGAATTTTTATATTCTCCTTTTGAGTTTTTTGAACATTCCACATTGTAATCCATGTTTTATGTAAATTATCTAGATTTGCATATTCTAGACATGTTTCAAATGTTCTTGTTTGAAACATTCTGTTTCAGAACTTTTTTATGCCTGTCATTCCATGCAATCTTTACATCTACATTGATTATTCTCAAGTTCATTTTAATTTCTTTCTCCGAATGTTTCTAGTTGATCCAAAGATCTCCAAGCGAATTGTCAATAATGCAATGTCAGTACAGAGTCTATTCAGCCAATTAATCACCAAACAGTCACTGTTCATGTACAATGTATTCAGACTGTGTGTTTTAATTCCAGGATCCCAATAATCTCCAGGATGCTCCGAGTCATGGAATTCCCACGAGTGATAGCGACATTCCCTCCCCAGCTCCGGACCAGGCTGATCGACAGTGGGCACCGCCTACCAACGGCGTTGAGGTGAGACACCAGAGTTAGAACTTACACTATAGCAACCAGACTTTTCTGGTAATGGACCAAGCATTTGAAAGAAATATACCCCATTCCATAAGAAATGACTATGGAAATGTTTTTGTCACTTATGTTTATCTAGAAAATATTGCTAAAAGTAATTTTTGCTCAAGTTACAAAAAAATATAAAAAATCACTGGATGTCCTGAATGTTTCGTGGGTCCAGACAAATGTGTTTGGAGTCTTGTTGCAGAAAAATACAAAAGGTTTTTATGCTAACCATGAAACGGACTAAAATATCCTGTATATCCAACAAATATGGCATCCCTTCACCTCTGCTTAATGGTTAATCCCTAAAGGTAATATCCATTCGTGACACTTGACCGAGATGAGTGAGTGAGTTGGGTATATATATGGCAGGAATATTGCTGTGTGGCACAAGGCAACAAACAAACACAAATTGTGTCGAGGAAGGACATGCTTACACATTCGCTGATCACTGTTCAGTCTTCAATTTGTATGGACAATCCAGTGATTGACGTCATGAGCATTGATCCACGCAATTGGGATACGATGACCAGCATCAACCAAGTCGGCGAGCCTGACCACCCGATCCCTTTAGTCACCTCTCACGACAAGCATAGTCACCTTTGACAGCAATCATGGGTTGCCGAAGACATATTCTAATCCGGTTTTTCACGGGAATAGGAGTGAGATCCTCTTTGTGATATAACATAGCAGCATCCATCTGATTAGTTGTCTAGTGGCCAGCAACAGAGTTACCTTACTTAGCTACCAGGATCTGCTGATCAGATTAACCTTGATTATGGTCCTTGCATGGTCTGTCAGCATCATATGCATACTGGTAGGTTCGTTTCAGGTGAGCAATTGACTTGCCTTTGCATGTGTTTCTGACGGGTACCACCGAGAGGGCAGGATACGTTCACCTATTCGTGAACACCTCGTATCATAACTATTTTATAGTGATTCATAAACACATGCTCGTAATGTAGTCAGAATCATATAATCGACTCTGCTTAAAGCAGATATATCTAATGATCATGGAAATGCTTTTTCTCGCTTTCATTTTCACCAAAGTGGAAAACGTCAATGACATAATTCACTTTAGACATTCAATTCACATTAACTTGATATACCAGAAATCTACAAGTTTCAAATTGTTTGAGATTCTATTAAATTAGAGTGTAACTATCAATAAAAAACTCATTTTCTCAAAATATGATCCTTATTGAAATAAAAATAGGTGTAACTTTTCTGAAATTATTATATCAGTGAGAACGATTCCCTTAAGTAAAAAATAATCGAGTTTAATAATCATCAGCATTTTTGAAAGGAGGAAAGAGGAAATATAATTGCTGTGTGACAAGGTGGTTTATTTCTTCTCACAGTTGGATAATTACTTTTATAAATTTAATGTCAATTTCAGAGAATTTCGGCTCCATTTCAGTCACATTTTGTACAAAAATATAATCAATAGCTTCTTGGTGGACGTTATTGCAATTGCATTTTGAAAAGCAATTTTCACACATTGTGTGGTGAGAAGTTCAAAAGACGTACATAATATTGTTCGTTATATTTCTGTCATGTAAATTTTCTTGAACTTGACATGGTGATATACTTTAAAAAGCATAGTTAATGACAACGGTGATAACTTCATCAGCTGAATGTGCTCATCAAGATGAAAGGTAAGAGGTTAGTGCAAAAAGTGGAATTGTGCACAAAAAAGGGATTCTGGTGGAATTATTCCTACACCTGTTAAATCAACAAAGAAAAATCATTCCATTTCTTCTTTGAAACTTGTAATTGTTGTTTATACATCTGACAGTCTGTTTGCTTCTGCGTTCTATTCTTATGAATATTAATGAAGCTGTCTTATCCAAGCTGCCCTTTCCTAAACTATGGACAACTAATTTCTTCCTCCAAATACCAAATATGAATTTTGCAAATATTTATATGTATAGGTCTTATATATTCTACCCCTAGGGATTTCCTAAGTGGAAATGCCAAGATCATAGGGACCTAACTAATCCTCTGGGATATAGAAAGCTGATTGGCTAAACACCTTGTGACAGAAGAATGTAGTTGACAATATTCCATGACGATTGTTACCAAAAGATAAAAAAAATAACTTAACTTGATAGGTCAGAATAATGGTCAGCGATACAAGGTTTGTGTCATACTTGCCTGACAACTTATTAATACAATTATATTTATGTGTCTATGAGCATCACTTGGTTGTCTGCATGTCGGAAATTACAATATATTATGTGGAAGATCAAGTGCTGTCTGAGGATATGTCATTCATGATCATGACAATTTATCATAATATTAACTTATCCTACAAATTGCCGGATTTTCAGTGTGAAAATCAGCACAAGTAGACAGACTGACAGTCAAGTAACTTTAATTACAACTTCAGTTCAAGATTGTTAATAAATAATGATTCATGATCAGAGATGACTTGGCAAAATCGTAGTTAAATTAATCAAATTCTTTTATCAACAATTTTAATTTGATTTGTGATAAAATTTCAATTAATTGCATTAAACCAGATTGTCAATCTTACATTTTGTGAAACCAAGGGAGACAATCCAAACTATTCATCATTAATCATTTCATTTGCTGACACGCAATATATTCTTTGACATCAAAATGTGTGTTCGAAAGTCAATAACGAGTGATTTTTCGATCTAATTAGTGTACAGCATTGGCATATAATATTCGTGAGTGATCATTAATTAATGATCAAAAGGAATGCAGGTTTTCCTCTGCCTCGTGACAAGGGATCAGGCAAGGCTAGACAATGATAGTGTTGAAAGCAATGTTTAGCTTGTATATGGCCCTGTTGACATATTCGGGGGATCCCGAAATTTGTGATCCCTTTGAGTTTGTTATAACCATAGTTTACTGTAATGAACAAAATTTCTACAAATGTTGTCAAACTTAATCATGTGCAAAACTGTCAGTTCGTTGTTACTCCTCTGCACATCAATTTATCATGTGACTTTAACCTCCTGTGGGGCGGGCGGGTAGCCTAGTGGTTAAAGCGTTCTATCGTCACACCGAAGACCCGGGTTCGATTCCCGACATGGGTACAATGTGTGAAGCCCATTTCTGGTGTCCCCCGCTGTGATATTGCTGGAATATTGCTAAAAGCAGCGTAAAAACCATTCTCACTCACTCACTCACTCACTCACTCACTCACTGTTGACATATTCAATAACTTTCTTGTGACTGAGCCAGACAGAACTGTAGATGACCGCATGTGGAGTTCCTGTTGGCTGTTACATCTCAACACCATGACTAAACATAGTCAGCAGAAAGCACCGAAACTGTGCCACCAAAAATTGTTTATTTAGAAAATGTGATTATTCATTTTCATAATTTAGATAATAAAATATAACATTAGAAGAAGAAGTTTAAGTATCAAAGGCCACATTCCATGAACACAACACAAAAGACAAAACTGTTGAACCTAAATACAATATTATAATAACTAGGAAAACTGACTGTATTGATGACAATGAGAATCATTGCGGCAATAAAAGTTACAAAATGTTTATGAATGAGTTAGTTGGGTTTTAGGCCACTTTTAGCAATATTTCAGCCTTTTACCAATATTAGATGGTGGAGACACCAGAAATAGGTTTCACACATAAGGCTCGGCAAGTGTAGAATCAAACCCAGGTCTTTGGCACAACAAGGACAACGTCTATTCTGATAATGGTTATGCCATTTACTGTGAATATTATCCAAAAGAGTAAATATAATGAATATAAAACTTATTAGTGACGTTCATGCACGTGTGTGTGTGTGTGTGTGTGTGGCTGCTTGTACTCTAGGCTGATGCCGATTTATAGTGCTAGCTCACTGAGATACCATGCCACAGTTTAACATGAATACCCCACTCAGACAAAGTATACTGACTCCGAGCTGACCAGACCTTGTTTTAGCCCCTTCATGCTGAGTGCCAGACAGGGTAACAACAAGTACCATCTTTTAACATCTTTTGGTATGACGCACCTGTCGATCGAACCCTGGACCTTCCGCCCCTGGGTGGACACTCTACCACTAGACCACAGAGGCATCTGAAGTGATATGACATCAGTCTTGCGGAAAATGCAGAATGATGTATTCCATTGTTCATGATGTCTCAGATTGATATCATCATGTCATCAGTACAATAGGGTGTCTTCGGGGAAGGTTTTCTATAGGGTTTACATCATGTGTTTCTCTTTATCCTAATCTTCTTAAAATGTTAATTGGTATTAGGTGAGATGAGGTGAAATGGTGTTTAATGTTGCGTTCATGATTATTGCATGCATGTGTGGATGCATTTGTGGTTTGCTGGATGCTTGTACAAGTCCACACAAATGTTGGTTTTATAGTGCTAGCCCACTGAGATGCCATGAAGCAGTTTAATATGGATACCCTACTCAGACACAGTGTACTAACTCTGAGCCAACCAGTCCTTGTTTTAGTTCCTTAATGCAGAGTGTCAGGCAGGGTAACATCAAATACTTTCTGCTCTCCGGGTGGACGCTCTGCCACTAGAACCCATAGGTGTTCCCATAAGTAATACATGTATATAGAATGACTTATAGAATAGAATGTAAAACACAGAATTAGCTACTCTGACAATTTTATGATGATAATAATGGTGATGACAATGACTAGGATTATTTGAATATTGATTCAGCAGTACAATATAATTGCACAGAAATAAATATTAATGATAAAACACAGGCCACAAGAAGTACAGAATTTAATTTGAAAAACGATCTCCTGACAATCCTACAACACAATTGACAAAATAATTAAAATGGCATCATCTTCTTCACAATCCTGCTCAAGACCCAAAGTTGAATGTTTATTGCACCAGATAACTGTTAAAGTCAAATGTAAAATATTTATAAGGAATTGACTTAAAATAATTAGCATGAAAGCATAAATTCTCATTTCTTTAGTGAGTTAGTCTAGCAAAATGTGCAAATTTCAAAAGAAAAGTTTTAACAGTATTTTAGTGTTCTACAATATTGATATTTCTGCATGGTGGAATGATTCTTTGAAGATGAAAATTGAATACAAGGACATTGTCCCCAGGGAGAGTGTGTATCAGTTAACATATAAAATGTTCTGCCTGAATTAAATATGTGCATCCACAAGCTTTGACAACAAAGTTGGTGTAAAATGGTTGTGAAGAAACTAGAAAAATGATAGTGTGTTTACAAAGATGGCCTTGTGTGAAATAGTATCTTAACTAATTACATCTAACAAACATTAATGATCACAAAACTTCAAAGAGTTCATTTTAGAAGCACGAAAGAAATGAAATGGTTGGTGCGTGAATAAAGCATTCAGCTTACCAACCTTTTGTTCCTGGAAAATTAGTTGGGTAAAACTAATTGTTCATAAACCGTTTTTTCATTGGCTCATGTTCTTTTGGAACATGGAATTCTCTCGAGAGAGTAAACTGAAGGTGGTTTTAAAGTATAGGCTTAAAAACATGGCGCAAAACTCATTGAATTGTTTCTTTTCCAAGTTATGTTTATGTACGCTTACACATGCAACAAGGGAATTACATTGGGGCATATTTAGGTCATGTGTTAGTTTATATCTTCCAGCCACTTAGTACCACTTGATGACTATCTCTAAGCTCTGGAAGCAGAAAATTAAAAAAAAAAAAACACTACTCATTGTAAACATTGACAGTTAAGGGAGACTACTCTGCATGAACTACTTTTAGACACAATTTGGTGCAAATAGAACATCTGTGAGCCAAACCATCATGATATGTACAACTTTTACTACTGCTGCTGCTGCTGATGAAGTTACTACTACAACTACTCCTATTACTATTACTCCCCTGTGAAGATCCAGGTTAGAATTGGTTTTCAGTAGCCCATGCTTTTTGTAAGAGGCGACCAACGGGATCAGGTGTCAGCCTTCTGACTTGGTTGATGCATGTCATCGTATCCCAATTGCTGGATCAATGTTTATGATGCCAATCACTGGATTCATCATCCCTTAACTTCAGGATCCACTTGTTGCAGGTTCAAATCCCAGACTTGCTCTCAATTTGAACCTTGGTCACACAACATTAAATATGTCTCTCCCCTGCTTTCCCTCACACATGAGTGAGTGAGTGAGTATGGTTTTACACCACTTTAGCAATATTCCAGCAATATCACGGCGGGGGACACCAGAAATGGGCTTCACACATTGTACCCATGTCGGGAATCAAACCCAGGTCTTCGGCATGACGAACTAATGCTTTAACCACTAGACTACCCAACTGCCCCCTCAAACATGAAGCTGAAGCCCGAAATACTGCTCAAAGCAGTTTTACCCCAACTCACTCCTGAACAAGACCAACTCAATTGACTATCAGCAATGATAGACTCATCAACAGAGCTTCAAGATTCTACTCTAAGATAAACCGTCCTCAACAGAAGAGATCCCTTCCTATAAGTCCTGATACTGTGCTTGCAGCTTGCTTAATCCAAAATGCTGATCACAAACTGAGACTGTTTTAGAAATTAAGTGATTTTCCCGAAATGTCTGAAATCTTGAGTATGTGTCTACAAAGATTCTCTTGATGGAAAGCTAATGTCATCGATAATCCGAAGGTGAACTCTGCCAAACAACACAGGTTTGAGAGCCATGTCAAACAGACATATACAAGCATCTTCTAATTTTCATCAGGTTTCAAGAATTGATAATAAAAACAGTCACAGATAAAAAAATAATCTTTCATGTATGGTTTCCAATGCAAGTTGGACATAATCGATCAAATGTTCATCTGTTAATCAGACAAAGTCTCTTTATGTCTGTATAGAGGCATGCCCAGCCAGCAAATTATCCAATCAGAATTAAAAGATTAGATACGAAAACCGATAACTCGGAAATCTGCCCATGCATACCAAGGATATGTCATGCAAGGCCGTGATCAGAGAGAACGGGAATAATTAACACTGTGTTGGATTAGGACAAGTATTAATTTAATTAAAATGATTTTAGGCTTGCAGAATTATTCATAACGTTTTGCAAATCGAAAAAAGAAAAGTCAAAGAAGCATGAAGACTTTGCATGAAAGCTTGACACTAGGTGGAACAAGCGTTAACATGGACGCAGAAATTATTCAAAAGCAAGGTCACCCTGGACAGACATTCAGAAGGTGCGAGTCGGGTTCAGTGCCACACTGTATGGTATTTCAGTTATATAATGTCAGCCTAATGTGGGATTATTTGAGGAGAAATTCAGGATTCAAACCTACAAATCAGTGGATCCTGGCATGGTTAAGGGATGCAACTCCACTAAGGCCACAGACAATAGACCACCGGGCCACCTGTTTCCCCTACAGACTTTCAAAGTCTTAGGGAGTGGATGGGAGAGGCAGTGTAAAGAAATGGAAAAATGAAAAGTAAAGTCACTTTACACATTGTACAGATATGATGAACCCAGGTCACAGGTTAGACGAGCAAACACTCTCTCCACTGGGCTACCCTACCCCATTTTCATCAGAAATCTATAAGGATAATGTTCTTAAGCACCATATTCCAGTCAGATGATTTGATTCCACACAGATTTGATTTCAAATTGAATCTTTTTTTTTTAAGGAATAAGAATTTAACAACTAAATTGTGCAATATTATTTTTATTATATTGTTTATTGTTTAAATCTGCACACTATCTGAAAGACGTAATTTATTTTAGAATGATGATGTCTGCCAGAATCCAAATTTCCAGGTTTTAATGGAATTTTGTCTTGAAAAGTGTGGATACGATACAAAGATCACATGATTTGTGTGTACAGTATCATCCTTTTTGAAATATCAGCTATTTTCAACAGCAAAGGGTAGCAATAGGTCATCTCCGCACAGCAACAATTCAGCAATTTATGACTTTTCTTATTAGACATTTGACAAACATCTGATAACCAGGACTCTATGGGAAATATTTCTACCCAGCTTGATGTATATCAATATAAAGACCATCATTTTTTTCTATTATCTTTAATGGTCATTGCACCATAAAGAATGTTATCAAATAGCCATAACTTGCTGTAAAAAAGTGCTTCTTTTATTTTCGACTTGACCCAAATGTTTACAATGGACGAAAGTGCAATTCTTTATACATACATCCAGTGCATTATTCATACTATTCATGAAGTGACTTGGTGAACTCTTTCGTTAACCAGCAAAGCAGAGCTGTTCTTAAGCACCTTATATTCTATTTGTAGAAAATGTCCAATTTTCATGTCTGGTGGTTGCAGAGATCCGCGGCATGTATTCCTCGTGTTGAAGGCAACAGTAATAAAATTTGTTTGGCATCACAAGCACAGCTAAGAGCTTTGGAATGATTTCCATATCAAGGATATGAAACCATTCTTTGAGACCAAATAGTATCCCTGTAGACATTACAAACATGACTGTTGGTTTAGTGATAAATACTGTTAGAATGCATGATGTATGAATACAATAGTTTCATCAAGCCCTGCTGGTTCAAATACATTAAAGTAGTCCATAAAAGAAAAAAAAAACTTTATATAATTTGGTCTTTACTGAATATTAAATTTGGTAAAGTTTATGCCTTCTTTTTTTACATATAAGTACAAACTTTTTACATTAATGTTAAAGCAATTTGCTGAGTGGCAAAAAATGAATTAAGGTTAAACTAATGGGAATATGTTGCCATATGTGTCATGTTTGTTAAGCTAAGTTCTTTGTGCAGGTGACTTTTAACTTTTCATCTTTTTAGATCAGAAGATCAATTAGCCAATGGAATATGTATCCCTTTGGAAAAATTGATATTTGTTAATTTCATATGGCAAAAGTTATTTGGATCACATTATTTGTTATTATTTTACTTTAGATATTGAAGTCTTTAAAAGTCTTAGTAAAAGCTGGAAATGAGATATAGGCACTGACATCTAAAAAATAATTACTCTTTTTTACAGGCTCGAACTCTGCTTGAAATACTGAAAAAGAACGAGATCGATGTTTCAAGTGAGATGTCGGGGGAGACAGGTACAAGCGACAGTGGTCATGGGGGCAGTGAAGAAGACCTTCACGCCAAGACAGGTCAAGCACAGGAAACAGGTAACTTTGGCGCCAACTTTAGTTTCGGTGTATGCTGATATTAGGCCATAATGATAATCTTGCAATAATCAATACTCTGTAGCAATATGTAATATGGAGACAAATAGATTTATCAGACAATATACCTTTTTAGCATGAAATATATTTCCTATTTTTTCATAGATTTGTATATTTTTTATAAAATTAAAATAATCAGAAGTTTTTATTTTTTGTGAAAGATGTAAATATCTGATTTAAGATTAAGAAAAAGTAGCAGCTTAATGAAACAGAGAAGTGCTTCTTACATCTTTGTGTATTTTGTTATTGGTAAATAATGACAATTTTGAATTATTTAACTGGTGTGTTGTTCTTTACTCAAAAAGGACCGATGAACACTTTGTGAAAAATATTTGATTGCATTTTGATATTCATACTCACAGTATGCAATACTGTCTTCACCAAAAATTGTTTTCAGATGAGTGAAGTCGTTTGTAGATGCTCTGGTCTTGAGAGGATTGTTTTTTAAATTCATAGCAAAGAAACATGCCAGTTAATTTTGGTAAATGATTCTCAAAAAATCTTTTTCTCTTTATACTTTTTTCCCTACATCATTAGGAAAGAATTATAAAAATTCAGTAACATTAGAATATGGTTCTGGATCTTGTTTACTCACAACATAATACAAATTGTGTGAACTATTTAGAAAGAAGAAATGATTGGAGCTTTCTCATTCCAATGGGATTGTTAAATGTTATTTATAAATATGTTTGAGTGCTTCACTGAAACAAAAGAATGTTTTATATGTTTTGTACAGCTTTAAACTCATAATATTCAAATCCCTGTTCAAATCAAACCCGTGGAAAGTGAGAACAGTATTCATAGGTGTATTAAACTAGAGGTTTAATAATAGAGAAATATGTTACAATGTTACATACTCTTTCCTTAACATCTCAGAAAAATGGTGTTCATGTAATATATGCAGAAAAAGAACTAATGAATTCAAGAATTTGAACTAAGAGCTTATTCAAGGATAAAATAGGTCCCCAGCAACCTATGCTTGTTGGAAGATGCTATTGGGAATTGGTCGACAAGCTTGGTCGAAGTTTGATTGTGTGTCATTGTATGGTGTCTTTGTTTATGATGCCATCCACTGCTTTGTCTGGCCGAGATTATTACAGTCTATTTGATACAGCGGGAATATTACTGAATGCAGCCATTAAAACAAACAAAATTCAACTTGAAATGAATATATGACCATATGATCCCCTAGAATATAGTTACACATTGTATTTATCAGAGGATAAGAAGGCTAAGGTTATCCATGAGTGGTATGTATAACCACATCGTCCAGTCTGTCAGTAGGTGAGTGGACTGCATGGTCAGTGGAATGAAACACTAACATCGTCATTGTCAACTGATGTTAGTCTTCCTAATCGTGGACGACATTTCCTGTACAATCTATCATGACCTTCACAGCTTTTGCGTAATCTGTCCTTTATCTGTTGTGATTCAGTACTAGGGCTGGGATAGGTAACTCGGGTATTCGGGTCGGGTGGGTCCTGAGTAGGACCCGGGTACCCAACCCATGGTTAGTCACATGATATATTGTTTAATGACAAAAATTATCTAAAACTCTATAGTCACACTACAAGTCACTAATGTTCCCATTTCTCTCTGACAATGCACCCATTCCTTCTGACTTTTATATGTTTGAATAAATATAAAACACCATGCACTTAACTCCAGCGTATGCATGACCAGATCGTTACACATGTATCTAAAAACATTTTGCCAGGGCTACAGTCAAACTTTTCCAAATCGAACAGTTTGTACCTATCTCTAAATATCAACAACACGTACCCGGGTAGGGTTGGGTAATAGGGTGGAGGGTACCCGGGTAGTAAATTTGGACTCGTCCCAGCCCTATACAGTACTAACTTCTATCATTCATAAATACACCGTTTGAACTTATTCACATATGCCTGAAAATCATGTTTTAGATGGAGTCTTAACCCCTGTTTAATTTCACTTTGGATCATTTATTGATAAACTAAACTACATTTCACAGTTGTAATCCCAAATCCCGTCATGATCATATTAGTAGGAAGAGATATTGCATATATTGCACTATTGTTGTTAATTACCAATGCCTCAATGTCCAGACTTAGTCACTAACTACAGTTTGTAAATATTTCAGATCTGAAGTAAATCATTTCATGTCATATAAAATTTCATTGTGGCGATATTTTAGTTTTATCTTTTCTAAGAAATGTTGCCATGTAATAATAAAAGATACAAATATACATGCATTTAAAAATGTTTTGACCCAAGTACCTTAGAATAAGACAACCAGGTATAGCTTATGGATCATGTTTATTCAAAGTGATCGGTTTAAATTCAAAATGATCAGTAAACTATGAATAGTTTCAAACTTTAAGCTGTGAAGATTTCCTCTGATTATGGTTAGCTTTTGTTGCTGTTATTATTCTTATTCTTTTTATTATTATTATTATTTGAAATGGCACTAAAATTGAATAACTTTGCTATATTTCAGAAGAAACCAAGCCAGGCCAATTCTTCCCTACGACATTCCATGGTGGCAGTAGTCGTGTTCCAGTCTACAACGATGGTCGTCAATCCCGCAACGGTCGCAAGACAGCGCCATCTACACTCCGGGGCTCAAGAAGTCAAAACTTCCGCTCACAACCCCAACAGTTTCCATCCAATCCAAGAACATTTGAAACAATGGACAATGGCTACCATTATAACACAGCCCCACACCCACCAAGGTCGGCACAGGCTGACAATGTCCTTCACACATTTAGTAGCCCCAAGTCAGAATGCAAACACTTTCAACCTCGCCATTTAGACTTTGTCCCAGGGTCCAGTCGGGGACGACCAGAGACTCCGATTCGTATCGAGGAGGATAGAAGTTCCACTTCGGGGAGTTATACCTTGAATTCCAATCGAAGGACACCAGACATTGATCACATGATGTTTAGCAGTGATGTGGTAGTGTGAAAGTAAGTGTTGGAAGGACTTTATATTTATTCATGCAGGCCAATGGGCATAGCTTCAGTTCTGTGAATAAATCTGTGGTAAGCTGTGTAACTCTATTGGAATTATCATTCCAAAATGCTTTCTTGAAGTCAGAGTATTGCAATGGCCACATCCTGCCTTTTTAGAGAAGACCTGTGGTTGAGACAATTTGATGAAATCTGATGCAGATCCACAGTTTCAAGATGAAATATTTCAACTTTGCAAGTAAATCTACATATATTTACTGCACTCTGTAGCTATATCTTCTAGCCTCTGAAACTGAAGCCAGAGAACCTTATGAGGAGCATTTATAGGACAAGCTTGCTACTGTCACATGCACGCTACCAAGATATTTTCCAGATACACATTCATCATGAGAGGAATTGTCCCTATTCATGAGAGGAACTCTCCTTAGAGTAAACTTGATACCGAAAGCCTTCATGTAATGAAGGACTACTTGTGGTGTCATAGCCGGGTTGGCTTCCATTTAGAGCAAATCCAAGATTTCAGTGTTAAACAAGTGCTTAAAGACACAAACAATGATTTCAAGTGCTGCCATGGTGCTAAATGTGGTTGAAGATCAACACTCTTTGATAAATTGGATCCTATATCCAAAGAGCTCAGATCCACGTGAGCATAATTTGAAGATTAGAAAAAGACAAGGAGTAGATCTGTAACCATGTGCCATGGACATGATTTGTAGTGATCTACTTACACATGAATAGTTTTTTCCCGTTCCAAGTTCTACGGTCAAGTGCCATGCTCGTGCTCATCCTGTTGTGAAATCGGATACTGAAGAGCTTGGGTGCTTTGTGAATACACTGAACACATCAGTTGATATGTTTGATATTGTGTGTGTCGCTGTGTTAAAAGAATGGTTTAAATAATGCATCTTCCCGATGCCTTTGAACTTATTGACTCAGATAAAGAACTGAAAGAAGGAGTGGAAGTCTCTTGAAGCTGGATCTCTTGTAATGAAACGTGATCTTTACCAATTGTATTTTGAAAAACAGTTTCAGAAAAGACTGAAATGTTTCTCAATTTGATCATACTCTCAGTGCTCAATTCCAGTTTCTTATCATAATCTGCTCAAACATGCTGAATCCCGAAAATGATCAGCAAAGATGCCTGCTTCTTTTCCACACCAGAATAGTCGCTATTTTACATCAGGCTATTTCATCTAGCGATCTATATAACCAACCATAGGTCAAGTCTTGTAAACAGAACTGTGATGTGCAGAGCAGATATACAAGAGAATCTCCTGTGATGAAGTGGTGTGCTTTTCACTTGTAGCTATTCACTGTAGACAGACTATCTAGTCAAGGCAGATATATTGGATGTTCAAGACAGGCATTGATTAATGTCAGATACTCTCTAGAGTGAATATTCCCCTTGGATGTGTAAGATTTGTTAAATGTTCCTTTGGGAGCAATAAGGTATTCTCCCTTCACTGGTATGACTAGAAGACAAAGTTAATTCCTCAATTATTTATTCTTAATTTGATATTTTGACAGGAATTGCACATGATTTTTAGAAGTGGATTCATCTAAATATCAAAATTATTATTCTTTATTACATATTACCATCATCAGGATGCCAGAGAAACATTTATCAAATTTATACAACCATGTTGATGTGATATCATCTTCATAATAATATATGATCATTATCAACCATCATTATAAAGAATTTATAACTCATCTGACAAATTGTATCAATATTAGGAGGAATTCCTATTTTTGTAAACTGAAAAGCGTTAAGGTTTGTTAAAATTGTTTTGTTTTGTTGCAGGTTTGTTTAGTGGATATTGTACATTGTGACTGAAAGTTTAAGATTCAAGCTTTTTGAAACAAATATGCTTGTTCTTATTCTGGACAAACAAACAAGAAATAATGACTCAGTCATTTCATACAAGGCAACATTGGATATTGTATCATCTGTTTTCTTCTTGCTTTTTTGAATTTTTAATATCACATGAATGTTTCTGTAAATAAACTTTATCAAACATAACACAAAAATGATATCCAGTGCTTTTGTTTTTTATATTTTGAGGCATGGGTGGCCAAGTCATCTAAGGCTTTGCACTTTGCTGTGTATAGTGGTGCCCCTTAGCCTGTGATCAAATCCTGTTTTACCCTCATTATGTTTCTGGGTCTGTCATCTTCCCGAGGCAAGTGAGTTCACGGACTATAAAAGTCCAGTTTCCACCCTTGCCAAACAAGGCTGGAATTCCTGGGCTCGATCGTAGTGCCACCAGTGGCTATTACAAGTTATGCCCCTTCTATGCCGGTGGGGTAGCCAGGTGGTTAAAGTGTTTGCTCATCACACCGAAGACCGGTTCGATTCCCAAAATTGGTACAATGAATGAAGCCCATTTCTGATGTCCCCTGCCATGACATTGCTTATATAGTGCTAAAAGTGGCATAAAACAGTAATCACTCACTCACTCACTCATCATCATAAGAAATCTCTGCTAAAAGTTGAGGCCATTGTACACTTCCAAGTACACCATAAGCATGTGGTTATGAAGCACTATCAAGTAGCGATAATACCCGGTGTTCACGAAAAGGTGAGTGTATCCTGTCACACAGGTGGGACCCATCCCAAACACATTTAAAGGCAAGTCATTGTTGACCCGAACAAAAGTAGGAACATAATATATAGTTATATAAGTCGAAATAGGGATTTGCATCATCCATCATTTTCGACAATGATATCTCCCATAAAACTCTTTGAAAGCTGATGCCCATTTGTCCCTGTTAAGAGTATTTAACTTTTTCTAAGATAGGTATGGACCGCCTCCGTGGGCTAGTGGTAGAGCGTCCGCCCGGAGAGCGGAAGGTCCAGGGTTCGATCCCCAGCCGTGTCATACGAAAAGACGTTAAAAGATGGTACTTGTTGTTACCCTGTCTGGCGTTCAGCATTAAGGGGCTAAAACAAGGACTGGTCGGCTCAGAGTCAGTATACTGTGTCTGAGTGGGGTACTCATGTTAAACTGCGGCATGGTATCTCAGTGTGCTAGCACTATAAATCGGCATCAGTCCGGACTAGTACAAGCAGCCACACCCACACCTGCATGCATGTCGCTATGTAAGTGCAATAATCATGGACACGCCGTTCAACCCAATTTCACCTCACCTCACCTCACCTCACCTAAGAAAGGTATTTCTAAATCTATATGATTTCATGTAACTGTCTGAATGAAAAAGAAAGGTGTTTGTGTGCATTTTATGTTCTAGCAGCACTTGTTAACTACTGAGGCATATATGGAAATTAATCTGTAGGAAAACATAAAATATATTAATATGTTAATATGAGCTACTGGACTAAAAAAAGGGGACACTTACATACTTCACTCAACTTCATAATTCATGTCTATGAAGTCAGGCAGTGACATCTTCCTGTGACAAAGGTGTTAACTGACTTTATAATAGTGGAAACGACTTTTATAAAGTCACTTAATACCTTTGCTGCGGGAAGATGTGCAATAAGGATATAATGCAATAACTTCATAGTATAAAAAAACCCATTACAGCACTTCTCTATTTCGCCTTTGCCATATTATATGATAAGCAAACATTACCAACGTGGTAAAATGGGAGTTATACCATTTCACTGGTGATAACGGTGATATATAATCTCTGACAAGTTGACTTTAAATCTTTTATTCTCATACCAAAAGACGTTAAAAGATGGTACTTGTTGTTACCCTGTCTGGCGCTCGGCATTAAGGGACTAAAACAAGGACTGGTCGGCTCGGAGTCAGTATACTGTGTCTGAGTGGGGTATTCATGTTAAACTGCGGCATGGTATCTCAGTGAGCTAGCACTATAAATCGGCATCAGTCCGGACTAGTACAAACAGCCACACACATACATACACGTGCATGCACGTTGCTATATAAGTGCAATAATCTTGGACGCGACGTTAAACCCCATTTCACCTCACCTCGGAATGGTACAATGGACTCTGTTTTTAGTTGGGTTTTCTTAAGATTATGAAAATGTTTTTTTGTTGCTTTATATTCACATGCGTCAGTGTTTAATAGCATGTATAATAAGGTAAGGTTTCCCGATTTCAACAACATAATATGCATCAATATTTTGGTGAATGTGTGGGGTGGGTTTATCAGGGCGTGTCAGGGCGTGTCAGGGAGGGTAGGACATAAGACTGGAGTGAAACCCGGACAGATGTAGAGCTGACAGACCAAGGATCATTATCGGAATTAATCTAGGATTCAGTCTATGAGCATCTGATTCTGACTTGGAAGCAATTTCAGTGCAGCGTTGTGTTGCCAAACAGTGCTGGTTGATGCACGCCGTAGACATGTACCTCATTAGTTTGTTTGTTTGTATGTTTGTTGTATAACGCCGCACTCAGCAATATTCCAGCTATATGAAAACGGTCTGTAAATAATCGAGTCTGGACCAGACAATCCAGTAATTGACATCATGAGCATCGATCCACGCAATTGGGACATGATGACATGCATCAACCAAGTCAGCGAGCCTGACCACCCGATCCCGTTAGTCGCCTTTTACAGCAAGCATGGTTTGCTGAAGACCTATTCTACCCCGGATCTTCACAGGTCCCACTTCAGTGAAATCCACCAGCGTTGGTATGGTGCTGACAAATTGATGATCATAATGAGGGCAAATGCAGGATCCTGGCATATCCAAGGGAAGTAACTCTGCATGGAGTTCAATACATATAAATCTATTTAGAAGAATGGTGAACACTAATATGGCATGCCAAAATTCATGACAATAACAAAAACATTTTTGCCATAGAAGGAAAATGCACAGAGGAAAATACATATATCATGCAAACAAAAGCCCAGAATGCTTCATGTTTCCTGCAAGTAAAACGACATGATCTATGATAACTTTCGAAAATATTTTCACCAGCAGCCACTTTTGCCCTCAGGGTCTTCTTTGCACAAAGTTACCTTTGCGCTACGATGATAACTACCGAACTTTAACATAGACTTCCTGTGGTGTAGCCCTACGATGGCTTTGTGCAAGTAGGCCCAGGGTTTCGTTTCTTGGGTTTTGTTGTCATAGCGCTGGAATATTGCTGAGTGCTTGAAGTAAGTAAAGTTTTATGCCACTCACAGATCATGTTTTTCTATTGCAAGAAATAAGAAACTATCTGGGGATGAGCTGTTGTTTGTTTGTTGTTTAAACTCGCACTCGGCAATATTCCAGCCACTTGGGACCGCCTCCGTGGTCTAGTGGAAGAGCGTCCGCCCGGAGAGCGGAACGTCCGGGGTTCGATCCCCGGCCGCGTCATACCGAAAGACGATAACAGATGGTACTTGTCGTACCGTGCCTGGAGCTCGACATTAAGGGGCTAAAACAAGGACTGGTCGGTTCAGAGTCAGTATACTGTGTCTGAGTGGGGTAAAAATGTTAAACTGTGGTATGGTATCTCAGTGGTCTGCATCAGTCCAGTCCGGACTAGTACAAGCAACCACACAAACACACGTGCATGCACGTCGCTATATGAGTGCAAACGCGACGTTAAACCCCATTTCACCTCACCTCCCCTCCAGCCATATGACGACGGACTTCAAATAATCAAATCTGGACCAGGCAATCCAGTAATTGATATCATGAGCATCGATCTATACAATGACATGCATCACCCAAGTCTCCGAGCCCCACTACCCGATCCCGTTAGTCGCCGCTTACCAAGCATGGGTTGCTGAAGACCACTTCTAACCCTGATCTGTAAATAAGGACAAGACACTGTGGATGATCCACTTTGTATTACAGTTGTTTTCAACGTTTTGGTGTAGAATCATTTGATAACTGTCATAGCTCCACACCAAAACATTGCTCACACAGTTATTGCACTGTGCACTGAAGCAGAACCACAACTCCGATAATGATTTTTATCCATACTGACAGATAGAGAATAGAGAAAAGATAAATTGAAGAGAAATTAAAAACATTGCATGACATAGATTGGAAAATACGACATAAAACAAAGCAAAACCCAATATTTCTATATCATTCAAAATGTTGCACGATGAATATCATTTGACAAAAAGACAGACATTCATAACTACACAGACAGACCTTCATATGCAACACTCATATTGTATCAAATGGTTAATAAATATATATATATGATATTTTCAAAGCCAAACCTTTTTCACTATCACACAGGTTTTTTTTTATCACAACAAAATATTTCTGTTCTGTTTACTATGGTGTTTACAATGACAACCATGTGCTATGAATCTCAGTGTAAAGGCATTTGTTTTTTGTGTCATCGCTGGATTCCAGTGATCAACTCACATAATTTTCACCCCAATTTTGCCTTTTACGCCCAGTGGAATCTGTTTCGTCGGATAATCGAGACTGGTTATTCTCTGGCATTGACGTTTTATATCATACATTAACACTGTCCAAGGTTGCCCATAAATGACGGTCTTAAAGTCCAAGGTTGACCATGAATGACAATCTTAAAGTTTAAGGTTGACCATTGATGATGTCAAAGAATCACAACGTTACTATATAAGTGCAATAACCTTGAATGCGGCGTTAAACCCTCATTTCATCTCTTCTCACTCCCCCCATGAAAAATCATTAAACAAAATACATGGTGACATGCCGAGGGGATTGAAATTGATTTAAGAAAATGTTTTGTGCCTCCTGATTCAGATTGTCGTTGGACATCGGTGCCTCCCTGTAAGCTCTAGAAAACAGATCATTAGCAAATATTTTAAAAGGTATGTGTTGGGCACAGTTAAGTTTTATCCATTCCCATATTATAGATCAGAAGGCGGCAACGATTTACTTATTCGTGATAATACACTGCTTTAGGAACTGACACAAGTCCTACAGTTCCAAAAATGGTAAGGCATCAACGAGCGTAGTAGAAGATACTTTAATTTGGGATATTTCCCTGTAGTTATCATTAAAGGCATGAGCAGGGGGTGGGGTGGGGTGGGGGGGGGGGGGGGGGGGGGGGGGGGTGGGGGGTGGAGGGGGGGGGGGGGGGGTAAATGGTA